TTTTCTGACTCGGAGTCAGGTCGTGTCAGCAAATCGAAAACGCTATTAATCTCGATGTCTATGTGTTTTCAATGAATCGATGTTGAATCGATGTCGATTTATATTAATGCTAAAACAATTTGATCGAAATTGACTATTTTTCGATGTAAATTTCGATATCGATCTGTTTTCAATGAATCGACGTCGGATCTGGGAAGCTTCCAGGGAGTTCATTTCGCTGAGCTCCCAGAAAACTTATAAAAGTCGACAAAATAAGCTCCCACAGAGTTTTATTTCGCTGGGCTGAAATACCTGTAAGATTTTTATAGAATAAAAATTATGTTGAAATTTGATAACTTGCACACACATTGAGTATGGGAAGAAGTTTCCGCCCTTTTCAGAAAGGTGTCGTTAGTGGTACTAATTTTGTGTTTGATCGAACGACTATACTTGTGTTTTGACGATGTATTTGTGGGCTTTGAATCGCAGTAGTAGACATTCGTTTGAAGCGTAAATGCCATTTTTTCTTTCTCGTCAAAAATGACAATATTTACCCCAACGAAGTAATATTTGCAGGAAGTTAGTCCGTTATTATATTTTAAAGAAAAGTGCTGCTGAAACACATCGAATTGTCACTGGCGATGAAAAATGGAGACTACGGCCGGTATTCACAGTCTCACCGTTCTTATATTTGAGATCGTCTTAAGTATACTCTTAACATGTTTTTAACCAATCACAGAGCCGTATGAGCCTCTTAAGACAACACTTAAGATGATATTGAAATAAGAATCGACTATCCCTCTCCATGCTTCTCATCGTCGCCATGTTGGGTCAGTAGCTGAAATAGTACAGTTAGTGCAATATAGTACAGCTGAAATACAATATTACAGGTTTCCACACAGCACCATAAGCTCCTAGAGAACCTCTGGGAAGCTTATAAAATTTTTCAGAAGCTTCAGAAGCTTGAACTTCAAACGAACTTGCATGGAGCTCCCCGGGAGCTCCTATGTCTGCTTTTGAGATGTCCCGGGGAGCTTTATTTAGGCTCGCAGGGAGTTCAGAAAACGTTTTAAAAACTCCCTGCGAGCTTAAAAAAACTCCCAGGGAACTACGTGCGAGTTCGTTTAAAGTTAAAAAATAAAGCTTATAAAAATTTTTTTAGATCCCCAGGAGCTCCCCGGGAGTTCCCCCTGCTGTGTGGGTATAGTCATCAAAAATATATTTAGGTCATTGAAGCCTATCCATGATCCAGACAACTCGCTGTCGGATCATATTGGCTCGCCTCTTATATGGGATTATTTTTCCTTACGAGAAAGACTAACGCGCGATCGCTACGTCGCGGCAGTGAGAGGTACTAGTATTAACTCCATGGAAGCTTGTTTTGTCGAATTTTGTAAGCTTCCCGGGAGCTCAACGAAATGAACTCCCTGGAAGCTTGTATTGCCGAATTTTAGGCCTGTTCTTTATTACTGCACTACTGAACTAGTGCAATAAGTTAAAATGAAACAAATAGATTACCTCTCATTCCAACTCAGTGCACCAGTGTGCACTAGTTCAGGAGTGCAGCAATAAAAAACAGACCCATTGTAAGCTTTCAGGGAGTTCAGCGAAATGAACTCCCTGCAACCTTGTTTTGTCAAATTTTGTAAGTTCCACGGGAGCTCAGCGAAATGAAATCCCTAAGAGCTTAATTGGAGCTAGTGCTGTGTGGGCTAGTGCTGTGTGGGCTTCTTCTTATTTACGGTACGCTTAGTTTGCACATAGGATTCACTACGGGCTCAACATGGCGGTCAGCCAATTAGCAAGCGAGTCTTCGATTGCGCTTCTCTGATTATTTAGGACCTTAGGCACATAGAAATTCCAAGAAAATTTCAAGATTATTAATTTGAACGTCTGATATTGTTTTATTTTCAAGCGATATTTTATACGCCCTGTGTGAATAAAAAATTTTTTAACTCATAATCTTTTTGAGTTATAAAGGTCACCAATATGTTTCTCTTAATGGAGAGATTTTATATTTATATAGTAGAAATTAATAGAAATTGAAATCATATTTAGTGAAAAATGTATTTAGCTATTTTAAATGTTTTTTTTATTATACCGTATAAAATCATAAATAGATATTGTAAAATTTGATTGTAAAATTCGATACAAAATTTAAAACGGGTTTACATAAATGAATAGTTTTAGCTTGACTCTTGCAATGAGAAACATTTAAAAGTTTTCGTGTTGATATCGGGAACCGTACTTTTATCAGCGGCTCTACGAGTTAATCACCGATAAATGATTAATGTGCGTTCCTCAGGAAATTAAAGCCCTTCGTCATAAAGTTGTGCACGGAAACACATATCGGTGTGGTTTAATAATAAATTTCAACTTAATCAACAGGGAGGAGGGAAAGAAGGAGGGAGAGAAAACTGAGAGTTGGTGCATTTTGCGAGCCTCGTTGCGTTTACGTTGCGAAAGAGACGGGCCGTTAATGTCTGAGAAATCCGGTCTTTAGGCGAACGAGTTACATACCGAGTGTCCAAATGTTCTTTTCATCACATATTTAATTTAAAACACGGATATTTTTAAATTAAAAATAGACATAGCTTACGGACAATTATCGATGAAAACTGAAATGCTTCTTGCAGAAAAAATTTCGAAAAATAACAGAATAATGTTTGCTAACTAATGTCAGTCTTCGTGTAAAAAACATGTCAGTTTCACGCTTTGTTACAAAGATACCTGAAATTAAAAGAATGCTCTCGATCTTTTGTTTAAAGAAAAGTCAATTCCAAATTGGCCAATGATCTGCCGTTTAAGGAACATTCGGTGCTTTGGAACACTTTGTATGCACGATGGACGGACTGGCAATAATGTTATCGGTATTATTAAT